TGGTTCTCTACCCATGGTTGGGGATACAGCTTTACGGATTGTATGGTCTGAATATCCATTCATCTTGAGGGCTTGGAGTACGTGCACCAGTTCACTGGATAGCTGGTGCTGGTCGGAGATGCAATGGGCCCTATGGTGTAATGTTTTGATGAGGGAATTCTTCTGGGCTGGATGGTGGTGGGAATCAGGCTTTAAATAGGAATCCATGTGGGTGGTTTTCCTGTAGACAGTGTCCCAACGAGCCATAGATGAGTAGAAAACTGAAATCTGGAGTCTGCGCCTGCCACACCTGATCCTACCACAAATGTTTGTGCCTAAGCCTGATTGCCAACCAGCAGAATCTCCTATTTTTCTGGATTAAGCAGCATTTTGTTTAGTGAAAACCACACGTGCACCACTCGTGTGCAATCATCGAGTTTACTGAGGCTTTCCATGTCTAATTTCGACTTCACTGCAGTGCACAATTGTGTATCATCAGCATATAGATGAAAGTTAATGTCATGCAATAAGATGAGATGACATCGGCAATTGGAGAAATGTATGTTGAAAATTTAAAGGGCCTCTGGACGGACCCCTGTGGTATGCCAACTAGGCATGGCATAGGCAATGACTGACGAACTGTGATCGACCATGTAGATATAACTCAATCCACCCCAATTCTGTACCCAATACACCATTACTTGACCTTAACCACCCAATGAGTATCTCACGGTCGATGGTGTCAAATTTTGCTGAGAGATTGAGGCCAACCAATGCTGTGGTGCACCAGTCATTCATGATCTCGTAGACGTCAGTGATAAATTTTGATTCAAAGCTTTCGTGACTGCAGGGATTCATATTCTTGGTTCTTTCGGTAAAGTCACGTTGAAGGGAAACAATATAATAATAAAATATATAAACAAAAAAAATTATCACGACATTTCGACTGCAACACAAGCAATCATCATCAGGTGTGAAAACCACAGCAAGAAAATTTGAAAAAGTGGCGTTTTTTTACGTTAGTACCACGGAGAGCGATTTGGCAGTTATTCACATGGACGAGTCCATCTATATTCGGAAAAGAGGAGGCGGGAGACGAAAATAATGGATGCGGTCTGAAAGCCACCGTAAGCGTGAACAATCAATTAAGACCCGAAATGGTTTATCAAATCCTTCCAATGATTGCTAAGCCAGAATTCATCTTCTCGGTTGAAATTGTCTCTGTGTTTGTATATGTGGATAGCCTCATGAACGAATCTCTCATGGTAGCCAGATGGCTTGCAAAGAACCTCTGTCTTGGAGAAGTCAATGTCATGTGAGCCTACTGAATTATAACAGTGATCTGCCACGGCTGAGGTGTTGGTCCTACCGTGTTTTCGGTCTGCTTTGTGTTCACGAATGCAGTCCGAGACATGTCGTTTGGTTTCTCCAATGTAACTACTACCACAGAGGCAACTTAGTTTGTAGACGCCAGAGTACTGTATGCCCGGAATCACATCTTTTACAGACAGGACCAGATCACGGATTTTATGTAATGTGTTGAATCGGACCTGGATCTTGTGTTTATTCAAGATTTTGGAGATCTTTTTTGTGATCCCCGCAATGTAGGGTAAATTGATGGTTTTGAAAGGCTCCTCAAGAGGGTCCTTCTTCATGGTTGGAGTGATTGCTTTGCGGATTGTGTAGTCGGAGTAACCATTAGCCTTAAGAGATTGGTGTACGTGCTTGAGTTCACTGGCTATGTGTTCCTGGTCGGATATGCATTGGGCTCTATGGTGCAGAGTCTTGATGAGGGAATTCTTCTGGGATGAATGGTGGTGGGTTTCCGGTTTCAGATAAGCATCTGTATGGGTAGCTTTCCTGTAGACAGTGGCTCATTGAACCATCAGGTTTCGTTTTTATTAGGACATCCAAAAAAGGTAGCTTGCCATCTTTTTCGACTTCCATGGTAAATCTGATGGCTGGGTGTATGGAATTGATGTGGTCGAGGAATTGGTCTAGAGCAGGCCGGCCATGTGGCCAGATGACAAAAATGTCATCCACGTACCTCTTCCATAAGGTTAGGCGCAGAGTGGCAGTCTGGAAGGCATCAGTCTCAAATTTATCCATGAAAATGTTGGCTACAACCGGAGATAGGAGGGACCCCATTGGGGTGCCCTCAGTTTGTTTGTAAGCAATGTCTCACCAGGGGGGTACCTCAGTGTTTAGTCCTTGATGAACCAAGTCTTCAATGATTGCGATGGTGTCAGGTACAGGAACTTTGGTGAATAAGGAAACTACATCAAAACTGACAAGCAGGTCGTCTGGGGACAGGGAAATACTCTTGATTGTCGATACCAGGTCAGTAGAATTTTGTACCGCAGAGGTGGTTTGTCCAGTGAAAGGCCGCAGGATTTCAGACAGAAAACGAGCCAGTTTGTAGGTGGGGGAGTTGATAGTAGAGACGATGGGACGAAGGGGTGTATCTACTTTATGTATTTTTGGTAAGCCGTATAATCTTGGTGGCCTGGCAGCAGAAGGTTTCAATGGGAACTGTTTGGTTTGATCAATGAATGCGGTTGAATCAGAAATGATTTTTTTGGTTTGTATGACGAGGCTGTTGGTGGGATCTCTTTTTATTTTTGTATAACTGCCATCATTGAGTAATTCTTTAATTTTGTTGTGATATTCTATTTTATCCATGATGACAGTGGCATTTCCCTTGTTGGCTGAGAGGATGATAATGTCATCCCTCTTTTTTAACTCATATAATTCAAAACGCTCATCTTTAGTAAAGCTGTCTCACTGCTTTCGAACTTCCAATATGCCGACTGCAATGGGTTGAATCTGCCCGTTGCGGCGATGTGGGGAAGTAACTGCTTCAGACAAAGGCGCTCTATGACCTTTGACCTTTGAAGTTGTACTCAGGTTTGAGATCGGGTGATAGTTTTCAGGGTCACTATGGCTCAAGCCAACTTTTTTGAGGGGCGATGTTACTTGGCCCATTTTTAACTGGTTTGAGAAACAGACCCTCACTGAACCAAAGATTTGCCAGGTGGACAACCAGCAGCGGAAGCACTATCCGAGCATGATTTCAGAATCGACATGTGGATGTAGTAGAGCAGCGATTTTTTATTTGTCAGCCGTGCAATGAGCATCGACACCACTGCCACCGACGTTGGTGCCAGGGTCTCGAGTTCTGCATTGGTTCCAGGTTGATCAAACTCAGATGGCAGACTGGGAGCATGTGTAGCTTTCAAGTTAGAAACTGCTATCTTCATCGTTATTATTTTCTTGGCGAAGAAAGTTGTAAGTACTGTGCACCGACCTGGTTGACGGGTTGATTGGTGATTGGAGTGCAGCAGACCATTCACAATGTGCAAGAGAGCACGGGGGTTGTGAGCGGACTCATTGATGCGCAGAGCATAGAATGGTCTGCATGACTCAATAATGAGTCGGTTGGTGGATCTGTAGGCGGCTATGCGGGTCAGACAGTCTCGAAAGCGGTTTCTTCCAAAGATGCTCCAGCTTACTCTGCGTCTGCTTTGCAGTGATCGCCTCTAGTGAAAAGTTACTGTGCGCTCTCCCCGTTCTATTTGTGCTTGTTCGGCAGGAGTTCATCAAGAACAGCAGTGATGTCATTTTAAACTTTAGCTGCAAATGAATCGACTGCCGATGCAGGATATAGATACGCCAATGAACCAGATCTTCTGACGAAAAGGATCATAGTCCAGTCGTTTCCAGTCTCTCTATGATATCACCGTGACGAGTGGAGAATAATCGGTAATGCAACTTTGCACGTCACGAGACTGTGATCTGAAATACCCACATTTTACATAATTTCGGTCCCAGTTACGGCATCGGTGGATGTGAAGATGTAACTGAGTATATTTCCCGAGTGACATGTTTCGCCGCTGATGTACTGGGTTAAACTGTGACTGCTGATAATCTCGGAGAGATCACTGTTGATTTTACTGCAAGAATCAGTCGGTCCGTCAGCACGAGCGTGCGAGTGAATTAACTGAGCATGGATCCAAATCATGTGACCAACCACGGCTCAATAATTACTGTATATTTAATATTACGCCACTTATTTTCCCAGGAAAGCCTCACTGAGGATTTGTTCTATTTTCAGGAGGATCCTGCCAGGTATTCGCAGTAGGGGGCGATGTTTCTGCTGTGTGTGATGCCAATTGAGTAATCTGCAGGTAATTTATTCAGCATTGGGATGCTTAAGCAACGTGACATCGATTTCTTTTTTTATCTAGTGGTGGTGGTAGTTTCGTGATTGTATGACATGCTCCAGCAGTAGCCCGTTCACTGCTGTGCCACCCTGGATCTTACTGCGGTGTGATTACCATAGAATACCCGCCATCTGTATGACTTGGTGGACCGTAAAGAGCCCGTGATGGCATTAACAAGACATTCTGTGCTCGCGCCACGGTCCATAATTTGCCAAATTAGAAAAATTACACTCCAAATTACTTGACTGGAATTACACAGCAGCCACATAAAAAAAAAACTTGGCAGGCCTCTTCTGAAATTCTGTCGAGATTAGTGTTTCCTGGATAAAGACGCCTTATCAATTGTTCTATTATGTTGCTGCTCTGAGGACTAGTGGTGGTTTGTGAAACCACTCCATCCCCACCCACCATTCCTAACTATGCTGCATGCACACTCCCATCTCTTCCAATACCCTGACCACCACCCAAACCAGCCCAACCCCTCTGTCCAGAAGAAGGAGTGGAGGCTTAAGAGGAAGAGGTGGGGCCTAATCCAGAATGGATTGGGACGATGAAGTAAAGGGGGGTTGGGGTATGAAGAGGAAGGGGTGGGGCTGAACCTCCCTGTTAATTTAAAGTAATGAAAGCATAGAATAAAAGGTGCAGCAGGCAGCCATACTGTTTAGCGCCACAGATGCGGCCACAAACCATCGAGTGGTCATTAATTGTGATGGTGATTTTGTTGTGAGTAGTAATGGTTGTGGTGATGACAGTAATGATATTAGTTATAATGGTGATACTGTATGTCTATGGCAACAGGCGTCCTACTTTGATCGCGATGACGTGGCTCTGAAGAACTTCCGCAAGTTCTTCAAGGAGTTGTCCGACAAGGAGCGCGAGCACGCCGACAAGCTGCTCGCGTACCAGAACAAGCGCGGCGGCCGTGTGGTGCTGCGTGATATCAAGGTACTGGGACATGGAGCCACTAAATCAGGACCGCTAATCTGTGTGGGCAACTCAGAGAGATGGGAAGGGGGAATATGAATTCAATGTATGGGGTATTTAGTCGATCCCAACATCCTGGTTGCCCATGGTGTTACACATCTCTCCTTCACCCATCTGCCGCAACAGTGCAATCCTCTGGGAAGTCCTGCGAATCGAAGAAAACGGTCACCTTCCCATTCATCAGGATCTCAATAACATCTCTTGTCATCGCTTGAAGTCACGCAAGCCCTTTTGGACCCATGCGCTTAACCTTAAACAATGGGAGTTTAACCCCAGTGAAGCTTGGAGAGCTGAATGGAGTTCAAAAGAACTCACGTACACCTTGTGAAAGAACTAACGCAGACGATCCCTGGGTTTGATCTTCCATGAAGCTCATGGTCCACCATAAATCACATCCACACTAACCATGGCAGATGCAGATAGCCGATACACAAATGTAAAATTGAAAACTCTCCAGTATTTGGTTCTATTGCCCCGATGCTGTTACTGTTGGCCTGATACTGTTAACATTTGTATGGGTACCTTTTCTATGTTGGTAAATCACCCAGCCCCTGTACTCCGAGAGAGTTTTTTTCAACTCCCTCCTCCCCTGCACGAGGACACTGTGTACTGTACCACACTCATGGACAATGCAAGGCACACAATATGGGTCACGGCGGATCGCCTCACTTTATTTCTATCACCGGAGGACACAGAAATTCCCCCCTTGGGTGGCCAGTGTTTGGCCCCCTCCCCAACTTTCCCCTCTCTCCCCAACTCCCTGAATCAGTACTCACTACGCATAATACAGAATTTTTTTTGGGTTAGATCGCGTAAATATAATGTGTCGTTAAACCTGCCACCACCCGACATAGCTAATTAGTAAGGTTTGTCACTGAAACAGAACATGTCAATTCGTTATTCGTACAGCACACCGGTGTGTTGGAGAGCAGAACCACAACATTTATAAACTGAGTACGACGTTTCACCAGTAATTATAATTAGCTTCATCTGGCGACAGCCAGATTTGTGGAGAAATCCTGTTTCGTTCCTTAAATAGTTGGGTAGATGTAATGACAACACTTGTGTGTTCTTCTTACACGAAGTGAGGGATTAATTAATGTATATAAATGACTATGGGTATCCATTGCCGTTTGGTTTATATATATGGTAATCAGCGTACATTTGGAAATGCGCATTATGGAAGCCCATTGTTCTTGTACTTCCTGTAGATTGTGTGTACTAAAATATCCATACCAACGGTAATTCTTATTGAAGTATGGTGACCTGTATAGGCATGCATTTAAACAATGTGTTATTTGATTATTCGCTTCCAAGCAGCACTAAGTCTGTAGCTATCTGAACGGTTACAATTATTTTTCTCTAAATTTCGATAGATTCTCTCATTAGACTTGGCCAGTAGTAACTTGTTTTGCACATAACTTCAACATTATAAAAATCAATTGAATGTCCTTGTTGGCACGTGTGTTCTACCACTGCTGACAGTTGTATTTGGGAGTATTGAATATTTCTTTGGTGTTCTTTTAGTCTCGTGCTGATCATTCAGCCTGTTTGCCCAACATAGCATTTGCCACAAGTGCAATTAATCCAGTACACACCTTCTGTTGATAGCTTCGTTAATATAATACATCTTTTGTACCAGATATTAATTTACGTATGTTATCAGCAGGGCATTGAATGCCCAAACCAAATCAAATAACACGAGCATTGAAACTGACCAAGTAATTCAAACTATAAAAACGTACATTATTGGAGTAACGGATAAACTAGCTAGATGTTTGGAAAAACAAAACATCCAAGTCAGATTTGGCACCTTCCATCGAGCCCCGATATAGAGAAATTCCTATTTGAGACTCCCCTACCCCATATACACCCGGATTGGAGGGAAGCTATGGAAGCCCCGAACGAGCTCCCCGAACTCCTGGAGGTCCTGGGTTTCTCCCCCGCAGGGAAGGCCCCAGGCCCCGACGGCTTCCCATTGGACTTCTACATAAGCCTGGGCCCTTTGATCCTAACACACTCCTTGACACTTTAAATGAGTCTGTTATACAAGGGAAACTCCTGGACTCCACAGAAGAGGCAGCAATCACCATCATACATAAACTGGGATTCCCCATAGACGAGACCTAGAGCTACAGGCCCATCTCTCTCTTGAATACGGACTATAAGCTGTATGCTAAAACCCTGGCTGGGTGCCTTGAGAAAGCCCTTCGGGAGGTCATTGGCACTGCCCAAAGGGAGTCCGTTAATGGCAGGAATCCCTCAGACAACATCTGAATCTTGGTCGACTCGGTTGATATTGCCTCCAGGTCAAGCACAAAAATATACGCCATTCCACTAGGCGGGGACAAGGCTTTCCATCGGGTAGAGTGGGGGTTTCTTTTTGGTACCATGCAAAGATTAGCCTTCCCCCCCACGGTTCATCAAAATGTGCAAGCTCCTTTATGCTCATCCGACTGCGACAGTTAGTCCTAATGGGTTTGTCTCAGAGAGGTTCCCCCTCAATAGAGACATGAGACAGGGATGCCCCCTATTCCCCCACCTCTTTGCAATTGCATTTGAGCCTCTGGCACCCAGAATATGAAGTAGCCAGGAGATATTAGGTATACACTATGGGTAAGTCGAAAATAACATAAATTTATATGTGGATAATGTTCCGCTTACAAACACAAACTGGACACCTCAATACCTGCCCTCCTGAAGCTTATTGCGGAGTACGGTGCAGTCTCAGGCTATAAACTCAGTATCACGTCAGAAATCATGGCTCTGTCCCTGACCTTCGGGAAGACCTCTGCCCAATGTCTCCCCCTCCAGGTGGTGCCTCTCCCAAATCAAGCACCTCAGGGTGAATAGCACGTCCAACCTAGCGGACCTCTTCAAACAGAACTCCCCTCCCTTCTTTTGGAGATTGAGGCCTCCCTATCCATTTGGGATGATATTCTGCTATCACTCCCCAATCGGGTCCACTTGGTCAAAATTATTACCCTTCCAAAGGCTCTCGACCATCACAGGATGATCCCCACTACGATACCTCAGAAACTTCAGCAAGCTCCACTCCCTCGTATCCTCCTTTGTCTGGGGCCACAAAGTGGCCAGGATCGACAACTATACCTTAATTCAGAGGAAGAAATGCAGTGGGCTGGCGCTACCTGATTTAGCTAAGTACAATTTATCAAGAGGCCTTCTTATGGTCAAGCATTGGCTCACTAAGAACATACAGGCCTCCTGGAAGAAGTGGGAAGAGGGATCAGTATTATCCTGAAGCCTTGAGGGAATAGTCCACTTGCACCCGAGGGATAAGCCCTCAGATTTTAAACCACTATCCTCGGTAAACACAGCCCTCTGGATCCTGAGAAATAGACTGATCCCTATCACTTTTGGCCTCCAGCGACGTTCCCCTATGTGGGATAATCCATCCCTCTGAATTTGGGGCAAGGATGTCAAATGGTTGGCTTGGAAAAGGGCAGGAATCAGGAGGGTGGGTGATCTTTCGTCTCACTCAGGGGGGGTGAAAACTCTCAAAAACATTAGAAAGCGACATGACATCCCTAATAGCGATTTTTTTTTCAAATTTCTCCAGATCAGGGACTGTATTAACAAGGCAAGGGATGTTGACCTCCTAAAGATCCTCTCCCCGATATGGGTATGGCAGATGGAGGAGAGGGCCCGCTATAAATTATCTGAGAGATACCAACTCCTACTTCTGGGCCCTACCGAGGTGAGGCCAAAGACCATGGCGCTTTGGGAGGGGGCGCTGGGCCCACCCGATCCCATCAGTCTCATCAAGACTCTGATGGGATTTGTACTAGAACGCATCTCCCCTACTGTCAACAACATCTTGAGCGTCAACCAGGCTAGTTTCCGCCACGGCCAAAGCACTTGTGACCAGGCCCTGGCATTTACGTTTGGTGAGAATGGCTTCCAGCGCATCTCAAAACAGGTGCAGTGTTCCTGGAACTCACAGTAGTGTATGATGCCGTCTCGCACAGTCGATTTCTGCTAAAGCTGTTACGAGTCCTGCCGTGTCGTGCTCATAAGTGAACACTGTCGAGCTTCTCAAACAGTGACCTGGCTATGGTAGCAGACTACTGCAGCAGATGATTACTCCAGCCAAGTACAAGCAAGACCATTTGCAGTGTCTGTCACATGCTCAGTGCCAGAGCCACTTATAAGCGCAAAGTACACCTGAATGGCCAGTTCTTAAAACGTGGCCCAAAGCCGGTGTTCCTTGGAGTGACGTTGAATAGAAGTTTGACGTACCGTCCATAACTTGACAAGGCGGCTGGGCAAGTTGCCCTCGCGAAACCATCTGTTGGCCTGGCTGACTCAACGTGGGGCGCTGGTGCTCGGTCACTTTGTATGATAGGCCTCTATTTGTGCTTTTTTGTAGCAGAATACACACTAAATTGGTGGACACTCAGCTGAATGTCTGAATGAGAACCATCTCCGGTGCCATCAGGACAACCCCACTAATGTGACTGCCAGTATGCTGCAACACCCTCCCACCAAAAAACTGCTGCCAAACTGCAGTGGTCAAGTTGCTGGACAAGGTACATACAGCACCAGAGTTGCCCTTTCATCAATATTTCCAAGCCTCCACCCATGAATCTGAAGTCTCAACACCGAGAGTGGTCATTACCACAGCCCAAAGACTTGAGTATGCAGGATACCTGCACTGCCTGGGCGAGGAATGGCGATGCTTCGATGTGCCTCACAAAAAACCTCAAGTGATCCGTCTGTCCAGATGCCTGACTTCGACCTCCCAAGTCATCAGTAGGTTCAGTTAAACCGCTTCCAGTCTGACTAGGGGGTGCGTGCCACTTCCAAACATCAATGGGGCATACTACCTGACAGCCCGCCGTGTGAATGCGGGGAGCAGAAGACCATGGGGCACATCGTCCATAGCTGTGTAGAGGTGTTAACTACGCACTGTTGCATAACCTGCGTTGCCACCAGGGCGG